ATATAACTTAATTTTAATCATTGTTGATTACTTTACAAAGATGATTAGATATATTTCTACTTATAAAAAGATTAAAGCCTCTGAATTGACTGATCTATTTTTAAATATTATCATTTATAATCACAGTGCTCTGAAATTATTGATAACAGATTAAGAATCTCTCTTTATCAGCAAGTACTGATTAGCTTTTTACTATCATCTTATAATAAGATATCTTCTCAGTATCACTTTTCATTCACAGACATATGATCAGACTGAATATCAGAATCAGATACTAGAACAGTATCTTTAAGTGTTCTGTTTATATTATTAGAATAATTAGCTTAAATATCTTCTAATCACTGAATTCATATATAATAATATGAAGAATGCAATCTTAAAGATATCTTCTTTCTATACTTATTATAAATATAATTCTTTGTTACTCAGTGATGTCATGAACAATATTTCAAAGAGAGAGATAGACAGTCAGAATATTGAATAGATACAGAGAACAGAGTATTTCTCAGTATCAGAAGTAAAAGTGAGATTGAAACTTTTAAATAAAATTTATGAGAAGACAGTGAAAAGTATTCACTGCACTCAGAAGTAGTAGATAGAATACTATAATTGAAAACATCTTTCAATGAAGTTCTTAATAGAGAATCAAGTACTACTTTTAGCAAAGAATATCAAGATAATAAGACTATGTAAGAAGCTCAGTGAGTAGTGACTAGAATCTTTCTCAGTAATAAAAGTAATGAGTAAGCAGATATATAAGTTAAAATTACTCACAGAATTGAAATCAATTCATTCTATTTTTCATATTTTCTATTTAAAGCTCTATAAGCAATACTCTGAGATGAAGCTGTCTCAGCTGAATAATATTAAGATTAAGAGTGATACTGAATATCTTATGAAGAAAATATTAAATAAGTAAATATATTACAGTAAGCTTCAATATCTTGTTAAATGAGAAGATTATTTATTATCAGAGAATTCATGAAAATCACTTAAGTATTTGAAAAATGCTGAGAAAGAGATTGCAAGCTATGAGATGACTAGTAGAGTTCATCTCATTACATATCAGAGACATTGAGTAAGAAATACTGCTTAAGACTTCTCATTTTTCTCAAAGAATTTTTTAGAGATAATCTTGTAATAATGAGTCAGTGTCTTATAGACTCTGTAGTACTCTTCTTCTATTTTCTCTTAAAGAGTTTTTTAAAAGTTTAATGAGACTACACAAGTGTAAAATTCCTGAAGCAGTTAATAAGAAAAGAAAGAGATATTTAAAATCAATAAAAAAGATTGATATTATTAACTCACAAGTCACTGTTATTCTAATGAAACTGCAGCTCACTGAAAAAGTAAAAAGAGAGAATCTCAGACTCTACTCATCAATAATTATATTCTTATCAAACTCATTCTTCATCATTGAAGTCTTCAGCACTAATATCTTTATCTGTCAAGAAGTTAGCACTGTAGTATCACAGAGAAGCATGCTATAGAAGAGTATAAGAGATGCTTAAAGTATTAACTTATTAATTTATAAAACACCTCAGTCATCTGCTTTAATTGAAGTGAGATTCTCTTCAATCAGTGATTAATCTTTATAACACTTTTAACAGTAATACTGACTGATCTTTTCTTGAGATCAGTCATTCTGAGATGTTTTTTCATCTCAGAGATTCACACTTTCATCTTCTTTTATAGATAAGTAAGAGAGATCTTCTCAGTCTTGATAGAATCTATCAATACTTAAAGCTCTGAGACTCTCACTCTGTACTACTTGAGCATCTGAGCTTCTTGTCAGAGCTAACACAATACCTTCTTATAAAATAGATAATACTTACAGAGAGATAGAAATCATTGTTACAGATATAATGAAAATAACAGAAATGAGAGAAGAGATAGATATATAAAATCCTCTTCTTCTTCAGCTGCTTAGTGCAGTGCAGACAAGTAGCAGTATCAGTCAGAGACTGCATCAGAGCCTTCTCATAGAGAGAAGATAAAGAAACTGTAGAATTCTACAGACTTAACTCAGCAGCATCTCAAGCAGAGCTCAGATATATCATGAGAGAGAAACTATGAATTGAGCTTCTCAGAGCTGCTGTCTCTGAAATCAAGCTCTTTTCAGAGTTCTCTTCAAATGATCACACAGGGTCATACATCATTATATTGATTGAAGAGAGGGGTAGCATCACAACAGTGATAAGAGAGATAGAGAAAGAACTGAACATGAATAAACTGATCAGCAGAAGAAATGACATCTCACTGCAAGGCACAGTGACTATCACCATGACTGTAAGAGAAGTAGAAGAAGAAGAAGAAGATGTGAAAATGAGAGTGATGCTTCTGCAGCTCAGTTATTATTATTATTATTCTTCAATTATAGATGTATGCAGTCAGAGACTATGACATCTACCTGAGAATCTTTAGTTCTCAGGGTTTTTCCTATATCTATAGAGTCAACTATTATACATTTATCAATTTCAAATATGCAAAATCAGAAAATTCCAGCTCAGAATACAAAAACTGTTTACAAATTGCAGTATTTCAACACCTTCTGATAGTTTGAAACCATTTGAAAATATTATGACAAAAGAAAAGAGAACATAGTCTTAAAGATAGACACATTAAATAGATAGAGAAAAGAACAGAAGGAAACAAGTACAGTAAAGAGAGACTATAACAAAACAAAATTATTAAAAGATGATGTATAGCTGTTTTAACAGACTATATCTAGTCAATTTCCACCTCTTCATATTCAGATACTTCTGAATTCAGCCATTTTCTTGTAGCTGCTCTAGTTTCTGATAGAAAGTCTATTAAGTATTTAGTTCCTGTCTCAGTTGAGAATAAGAACCTCATATTTAATTGATTTAAATCATACTTCTTCTTTAATCTGACTCTGAGACTATTGTATAATGCACAATGCATTACAATATACTCAGGATTTTCATTCACATTGCAGAATGAGCACTCTGTTGAATCAAATCTATCATCAAATCTTTGTATATAAGATTTGAAATAACCATGTCCTAGTTTCAGCTGAATTATAGATGAGAATATTTTCTTTTTACATTTAATTGAACAAGATTTTCACTTTGGTTTTGTCTCAAATCTTGAATAATGTATACTCTTCTTTTGTTTCTGCCAGCTTTCATTTCACTTGTTTAAACAAGATTCTTTTATCTTTCTCTTTATGAAAGATCAGGACACTGTTTTTTGAATAGATCTGCTTAATTCTGAACCCTTTTTTGCAGCTGAATCAGCCAATTCATTGCCATGAATATTCATATGAGCAGGAACTCAATGCAGATGAATTATCAGTTTTGATATTCTTCTCTTTTGAATTTTCAAAACAGAGTTTAAAATCAGTTCAAGATTCATTTGATCATTATGAATCTGACTATTTCTAAGTCTTTTTAAAGCAGCTTGACTATCAGAGAATATTCATGCCTCTTTCAAATCATTTTCTCTTTTATGAGATTTTATTTCAATGAGTTTGAAAGCTTTCACTATTGCAAATAGTTCAGCATCAAAGACTTCAGATTCACAGCCTAAATTCCAGAAATCTGAGATAAAATTAATATTATCTTCAGTATAAGCAATGTCTGTGTCTAATCTATTCAAATTCTCATTTTTTGAGCCATCTGAGTAGATCAGAATAGAGTCTTTTATATTAATTGTAGAGATCTTCTTCAAATACTGTTCATATTCTCTCTCTTTAGATAGTTCACTTATTTGTAAGTCTATGAGAGATTCCAGCTTTTCTCTCCAGAGAGATATCTTCTCATGATCAATTTTCTCAATATTTAATGAAGAAAATTGATTCTTAATAAGTGAACATAGTCTATACAGTTGAGAGAGCATTTTCTTTAAAGTATTATTCTCATTCCAATCAAGAAATCTATTTCAATCCAGTTCATTTCCTGAGTTAACTGATGAAAATGAAGAAGAGACTCTTTCTCTGATTATATGATTTAAGCTTATCTTCATGACTCTCAGAGCATAGTTCATACAGGCCTTTTCAAATTGAATAGCAGGAGGTGAAATTGAAGCTTCAATTTCCATTGCTTTAATAGAAGATGACTTGAATGCTCTCAGAATTCTTCTCAAAGCTCTGTTTTGTAGACTTTGAAAGAGTTCAGTGAAGTTTCCTTGATTGTTTCATCAAACTTGAACTTCATAATCAGCTACTGAGATAATACAGGCTATGTATAACTGTCTTATAGCCTGAAAGAATAGACCTCTCTCAGTATTTAATAGTCTGATTATACTATTCAGTAGTCTCTCTGCCTTGATGATTCTTTGTTGAATATGATATTTAAAATTCAGCTTAGAGTTTAACCATACTTCTAGTCATTTGACATTTAAACCGGGTTTAATCTCTTTATTCAAAAGAGTTAGACTTAGTTCTTTCTCATTAAACCTGGAAAAAAAGTGAATTAGCTCAGTTTTATTCATATTAAATTGAATTAGATTGATATCTGCTCTAACAAAGATTTTCTTTACTACTTTCTCAATCACTTCTAAATTCTCTTTAATTGTCTTTGAACTGTAGAGTAGATCAATATTATCTATATAACTTGAAGATCTCACTATTTTCATCTCTCTATTCTTGAATAGATATGCAGTGTATATTGCAAATAAAACAGGTGAGATTGGAGATTCTTGTGATACTTCTATTTTTATCTCAGTTTTATCTTGTTTTCTTCCATCAAAGAATAGTTGTATAATTCTTTTAGACATGAAACAATTAACTCATTTTATTAGAGAAAGTGGCATTTTTAACATCTTCAAAGTTTGAATTATCTTAGACTTTAACACATGATCAAATGCATCTTTTATATCAATAAAAACTGCAGTTGAGACCAGGCCTTCATGCTTTGCTACTTGAATATCATGAATAACTGAGAGAACAGTATCAATTGCAGAACATTGTTTTCTACCTCTCATTTGTTCATTAAATAGAAGAGAATCACTAATAGAGCTTATAAAAGATAATCTAGTCATGAGAACAACCGCTCCACCACGAACTCGCTCGATTTTTCGAATAAGAACCCGCCGATAGATCCATCGAAAAGCCCTCGATCATACGAGCATTTTGACCCCATCGCCGACCGCATACCCCGTGTGGTGGTGGAGTTATCCAGCCAAACGTGAACCGGACGTTGTTCGAAGCTCCTGTGTGGGATTATCCCCCGTTCTCCCCTACCACACCACAACCCCGGGCCAGAGTGCCATACAAATTGTAAGGTGAAGTGACCTAGCCATATGCACCAATCTTCTCGATTTTGGAAGACCCCCGACCTGTAGTTGTGGAGATATCCGAGGAGCGACCTCCGCGAAAACCCTGTCCATCTTTGATGTTCCAAAACACCAACGCCAAGTCTCACCCTCGTACCGCCCTTCCCAATCTGGCCCATCCCCGGCAGAAAAATACAAAAAGATACCTCGGCGATAATATCAAGCACATAATCAACAGACTCTTCTGAAGTGCAACCTCCACGGTCCGCCGCCAGTGTATCTAGACTTCAACACCAAGTCTCACCCCTGTACTACCCCTCTCAATCTGGCCCATCCCCAGCAGAACGATACAAAAAGATACCTCGGCAACAGTATTCAATACATAATCAGTGGACAATGAGTCAACAGCATATCAACAACTATAAAATCAGTATACCCCAAGGTCTGACTGAGCCTTTGATCCCTGCACAGTGAGATATATTAAATCTAGTTTTAATATCTCAATATTCAATAGATTCTGCAAGAGATTGAGAACAGCAACACTAGGTTTCTATTGAATTTGAGAATTAACTCTATATTGATATAATCATTGACAAAGTCTTCTATTTTGAGATATAAATAACCAGTTCCTCTACATCTCACTGGCAATATTTATATTATCATATAGAAACAGACTTATATTCTCTATAATATCAAGACCCTGAAGAGGGAAAGTCTTGGTAGAAGGTATACAGTAGTGCATATCTTAGCAGTTTCTATCTCATTCTTCTGCAGCAGTTAATGCAAAAAAAAGATTTTAGAAATAGTTTTTTACTTCTCTTAAAAAAGTAAGGTGTTTTTCTCTGGATTTTACATAATATTCTTACAAAGAATTAAAAACAGAGTTGTTTTCTGTCATAATTTCATATTCTTTTAAGTAAGAATTACTTTTTCAGTGGCTGAAGAGCTTTCATTAATACTTAATTCTTTTTTACACTCTTTATTAACTGATTTGAGTTGCACACCTGTTGTGTGAGGAGAATTGAATAATTTAGAATAAAATTGAATAGTTTTAATCAATTTCTCTTCAAAAAATTGATTTATTTTTTGTCAGTTTTTCTCTCAAAAACTGTCATATCATCTGATTTATTATCAATTGATATCATACTTTTTCTCACTGTATCCCAAGAAAGAGATTGTAAAGATTTTATTGATTTATCTTAAAAATCAATTTTAGTTTATTAGATTCTCTTCAAAAATCTAACCTAGTTACTGAACTAGTGTGAAAAAAATCAGGTGTTTTATACACAAAAGTCTTTTATTCTTCTTTTGAAACAGTCTGACCAACTTTTCAATTGAAAACAGACTTAGAAATATCTCAATTGAAACAGTCTGACCAACTTTTCATTGAGTGAAAACAATGAGTTCAAAAATACACTCAGTTGATGTGGAAAAAGATGCTTTCTCAAATGCTATTTCTGAGATTGAAATTCTGAAGAGAAGAAAGAAAGAAGAAATAGAGAAACAACAAGTTCTTGAAATACAGGAACTTGAAAAAGCAAGCAAGATTCTTGGAAAGCAGTGTCTGAGTGAGATGAATGAAGAAGTTCTGTTAATTCTTCATGCTCAGGCCAGACAACTACAGGAGATGATCAAGTTCAAACTTGGAATCTTAAACACAGTTCAAAAAACCTTGAAAATTCCTAGTACAATCACTGACTCTTCATCTTACTCTTCTTCTTCCCTTCTTCCTACTTCTTCTTCTTCTTTGAATCAGAAGAAAATATATGCTCAAGCAGCTGAATCTGCTGTCTCTAAACCTGCTATCTCAAAACCTACTCAAAATCCTGAGAAAACTGAGAAGAATACTGCTCATGCCTCTATTCATAGAAAAGTGGAAAAGAAAATGCAAAAAGAGAAAAACTTCCAAATCTCTAGAAATAGAAGACTCATTCTCAAAGTCTCAAACCAGAACATTCTGCAAAGAAACAAGCTAAACTCAAATCTCATTTTCAGAATTAGAAATGAAATTAATCAGCAGTTCTTTTCTCAGTTGATGACTGATATTGAAGTTCAAAAACCAGTTATAGCTTCAATTGAGTCATCATTCTTTGAAAACTCTATTATTCTGACTACAATGCCTGAATTCAGTGCTGAATTCCTTATTCAGAATGAGAATCTCTGAAAGTCAGCAGTAGAATCATTGCTAAACACAACAATTCTATCTGAAAGAGATGAAAAGTGGGATAAATTCATTCTTCATGATATTCCAGTTGAAATTTTTGACTGTGAAGAAGGAATGCTACTTCTCAAAAATGAATTGAAAGAATACAACTTCATTCAACTGAGAAAGAAGCCTGTATGACTAAATTCAATTGAGTTCAGACAAAGCAGGAGAAATGCCTCTGTTCTAGTATATACAAAAACACTTGAACAGTCAAAGATCTCTGAAGTAAGAGTAGCAGGTTTGAAAATGAGAGTTCATGAATACAAAGACTCAAGAATGAATCTCAAAGCTCAAACACAGTGTTCAAACTGTCAAAGATATGAACACTTTGTAATCTCATGTTTTAGAGACTCAAAATGTGCATTCTGTGCCAGAGATCACAAAACTAGTGAGCATAAATGTGAAACATGCTCAAAAAGAGATGAAATTTGTCAACATACTCTGCTTAAGTGCTCTAATTGCAAAGAAAAACATGCATCTAGCTCTAAAGAATGTATGTTTGCTCCTAGAACTCAAAAGAACTGGAGAAAAGATGAAGCTCAAAGTCAATCTAGAACTGAAGAGAAGAGTCAAGCCAGTAAACTCACAACTGCAAGCTCAAAAAGAAGAAACTCTCAATTATCTAAGTCTTCAAACTCCAATTCTCCAGCAAAATGTAAACAGAATTTGAATCCTCAAACTCCTGTTAAGATTAGAGAATTGAGAAATGACTCTGGTGATAAACTAGATATAATACAAGTAGTTGAGATTCCTACTTTTCAGAACAGTTATAATCTACTATCTGATGATAGTGATTAGATTCTACTCTACTCTCTTTTAGTATGAATATATAACAAAAACAACAAAAAAAGTTTAAAAACTCTTCAAAAATCACATTTATTCAAAATAATGTGGATAGAAACTCAAATTGCATTTATTCTTGTCTTCAAATTGCATTTGAACAAAAAGTTGATTTTATACTGCTTCAGGAGCCGAATTTTGATGCTGAGCAAAAATATGTCATTTCTCATTCAAGCTACTACTGCTTTTTACCTCAAAAGTCTGAGATAAAGTCAAGAGTAGTGATCTATGAAAGAAAGAGATCAAGATATCAATTTAATCTAAGATTTGATATCATGTCTGACCCTGATATTCTGGTGAGTGATATTATAGATAAAGAAAATGAGTTTGATACTATACAGCTCATAAATATCTATAATGAAAAGTCATTGAAGAAAAATAACAATATCTGAACAATTGATAGAGGATTTCTGAACATAACTCTATCAAGAAACTCTATAATTGCAGGAGATTTCAATGCACATCATTTCTGATGGAATTCAGAATGCAAGAGAGCAGTGAGAGCTGATAATCTGATTGAATGAACCTTTGAGCATTCAATAGATTTGGTTAATAAGTCTGATCAACAAACATTCTTTAGAAAAGACATGAAACAGAAGTCTATTATAGATCTAACATTCATGTCACAAAATCTAATGAAAAGAAGACTTGTAAACTGGTTTATTGATTCAAATGAGACATCAGGATCAGATCATGAGATTATTCAATTTGATATTGAACTGAGTGAAAAATAAATGAGTGAAAATCCTCTTCTCTCTAATCAGTATAACTTTGAAAAAGCTGATTGGAAAGCAGTTGAAGAAAGCATAAAACTGTTAAAATCTGAAAGACAGAATGAGCTATATTGGAATTCTGGTCAAGATATCTCAAATGAAATGCTTGAGAATAGAGTGAAGCTTATTACATCTATCATTCTAACAAGTGTTAGAGATAATATTTCAAAAAGAAAATCTTCTGAGTATTCAAAACCTTGATGGAATGAGAATATCTCATCTAAAAGAAAAGAATTAGCTACTGCTAGAAGAGATTGAAAGAATGATGTAATATCTGATGAAGAGTTCAAAACTGTCAGAAATGAATATTTTTCAGATATTAAAAGAGCTAAAACAGACTGCTGGAATAAATTTCTTGAAGAAGCACAAGAGAAGGAAGTTTTTAAAGCTTTTAACTATACTAAAACAAGAAGTGTAGCAAAACTTCCAGCTCTAGAATATGAGTTTCAGAATGAATCATATACAGCAAACTCTTTTGAGGAAAAATGTCAAGCTTTCATGAGAATTCTCTTTCAGAACTCACCAGATTCAGATTCAGATTCAGAGGAAGAGAATATATCACTTCTCAACTACATTGATGAAAATGACTGGAAATGGCCTGATCTTACACAAGATGAATTAGAGTCAGCTATCTTCTCAAGTTCTGTTAAAACTGCTGCAGATCCTGATTCAATTAATCACTTGATTATTCAAAATACATATTCCTACTTAAAGAATGAATATTTTGAGCTCTTTTTCAATCTCTTGAAAAATGAATATCATTCTGAATGCTGGAGAGAAGTCACTGAAGTGATTCTTGCAAAACCTAATAGAAAAACTTCAATTTCTAAGTCATATAGAGTAATATCTCTATTGAACTGTTTAGGAAAGGTTTTAGAAAAGATAATAGCTACTCGACTATCTTTTATAAGCTCTATAGATGATTCTCTTTTATTCAGTGAACAAATGAGAGGTAGAAAACAGTGTTCTGCAATTGACACTGTTCTCTCAGTTGTTCATGATATTCAAATAGCAAAGCATGAGAGTCTGGTCTCAACTGCAGTTTTTATTGATATAAAAGAAGTGTTTGATCATGTTTCAAAGTCAAAGTTAATTCAGACATTGAAGATATTAAAACTGCCACTTTCCCTAATAAAATGAGTTAACTGTTTTATGTCTAAAAGAATTATACAACTCTTCTTTGATGGAATGAAATAAGACAAGACTGAGATAAAAATAGGAGTATCACAGAGATCTTCAATCTCACTCATTTTATTTGCAATATACACTGCATATCTATTCAAAAATAGAAATATGAGAATAGTGCGATCTCCGAGTTATGTGGATGATATTGGTCTAGTCTACAGCTCAAAAACTATCAAAGAGAATTTAAAAGTAATTGAAGAAGCTGCAAAGAAAATCTTTGTTAGAGCAGATATCAATTAAATTCAATTTGATATGGA